ATGCAAAGTACCCATTTAATAGGTTGGCTTTTTCCTGGGCGTCAGTTGTCAGTTGCCCCATCTGGTTCAGCAGGGGTCCAATGTTGCCCTTGCTTTTCCTCCGGCTCCCCACATACCTGAAAAAGGACTTTTTATTGTCCTTGATGCTCGAAGCTGGATGGAGTTCAGTTGCAAATTTGGAGTTGAGTTGCAGTTCTTTCTTCTCCAAACTAAATAAACCCAGTTCCCTCAGCATCTCCTCATAAGTCATGTGCCCCAGCCCCCTAACCATTTTCGTTGGTGTCTGCTATACTTTCTTCAGCTTGTCCACTTCCTTTCTGTAGTGGGGGACCCAAAACTGGACACCGTACTACAGATGTGGCTTCACCAGTGCAGAATAAAATGAAATAACAACCTCCTTCAATCTACTGGCAACACTCCTAATCTAGCCCAGTATGCCGTTAGCCTTCTTGGCAGCAAAGGCACACTGCTGACTCGTATCCATTTTATTGTCCATCGTAACCCCCAGGTCTTGTTTGAAGAGCTGCTACTTAGCCGGTCAGTCCCCAGGCTGTACCAGTACATGGGATTCTTCTGTCCTAAGTGCAGGACTTTACACTTGCCCTTGTTGAACCTCACAAGATTTCTTTTGGCCCAAACCTCCAATTTGTCTAGGTCACCCCAAATCCTAGCCCTACCTTCCAGTGCATCTATTACACCCCCCAGCTTGGTATCGTATATCCTTACATTGCTGCTTCATGTGTACAGCCAGTTAAGCCTTTGCACTGCAGTTAGTTCAATAAAACTTGGCTGCCTCTGAAAAAAAAATTGCATTCTGCTGCCACCTAGACAGTCTTAAAAGAAGCTGTGAAATGAGGGACAGAAATGCAGGGAAAACACCACTTCAGTGTAATGTCTTCCACTTACTGCCGTGGCTGTTCAAAGCAGATTTTTTTTTTTTAAAGCAAAGCAGTTTGTCAGGCTGTTTCAAAAGAATAAAGTTAGTTGAGTATTAACCACAGTGTTGATGCCCCTAGTGCTAATGTTGCTTTTATTTTTTAATCTTAGCAGGGAGGCAAGGTAACTTCTCCATGTGAACAATGTGGCAGAAGGTAGTAATCCAGGAGAACAAAAGCCATGCTAAAAGCTATCACTTGCATTTTAGGCTTCTGAGTGTTCTTTCAGAGTTGCTCTGAGAGGCAGAATTGGTAGAGTTTGAGTAACTTGCTGTGTTAATGGCAAGGAGCAAAAGATATGGAGGGTTATTCTGTTAAGTGACTCTCACCACTGACCAGTTACTAAGAGTACATGTGCTGTGCTTGCACTGTTTATATTTCTGTAGCACTCTGAAGTTCCAAGCAGAATTGCACAGATTTAATGTGTTGTTGCTTTTCCTCCATGCTGCTGTCCATTGTTTTATGTTCTCAAGCTGTTTCTTATTGCTTTCCATTGTGGCTTGATAGATATCTGCAGTGCTGTAGTGACATGGAGAAGTTTATTCAGCTTGACAAAGCCACCGTACACCTTCTAAACATTTGTATGACCTTTTAAGGGTTCTGATTTCCTTCATTAAGTTTATTAATGAGGTATATTACTATGAGGACTAGAAATCCAGCTGCCATTGAGAAGCACTCACCACCATCAAACTCAAGATGTCTTGTTATGACTGTGCATGTGCTTAAGCATAGGAGTTGTGTATGATCAACATTTGACTTCTCCAGAATGTTGTTGGAAGTCCTGTAAGTCTGGCAGAACCATAAATTAACAAAATAATCTAGGACAAGTCTCCTGTTCTTACGTTTCTCTTGGCTTCAGTTGCATTCATTTTTAGATAAAATTTCCATCCATTATATATTGTATATCTCAATTAATTAAATACTTTTTGTTTGTTTCATTTTTAATTAAAAGAACCTCGGCTTTCAGGCTTCCTTGGCCAAGAGGGATCCAAATGATCATAACTTGGATCATAAAAAGGAAATAAGACAGTAAGTATGGCTGTATTGGAGAGGGCCTGTACATGTCCAACAGTACACTGCTTCCATGATCCAGTTTTTGACATACTTTTATGCAGCGTATATTGAATTTATACCTCTGCTGATGCTGTTTTAACAGTCACTTAGTTTAGGGATTAGAATTGCTTCAAGATTTTAACTGAATAAATTTATGCATGGGGGTAGTGGAATTGGACAGGGAGTCCCGGTTTAACTCAGTGAGTGTAATGTGGCGTCATGTGTTTCTGGTCCCCAGGCTGGGGAGATAAGGTAGCACCTCTGGTATGAAAGGTATTTGGTAAGTCCATGCGTGAGGGCTTTTGCTTGTCATCAGTTGGGGAATTCCTCCCTTTTGTCCCAAATACTACTTGCTTCTGTTTGGTTTGGTTTTGTTTTGTTTCTTTTTCACCACCTTAGATACATGCAGTCCTTGAACTTACAACACACTTGACTTGGTTCCTGAAAACAGCATCTTAAGTCGAAATGCTGTAACTTGGAACCAATTTTCTCATAAGAAACAATGTTATAAATGAAGGATTAGTTCCTGAACCAAGGCCTGATACCCTACTTTTACCAAAAATAATCCAGAATTTTATACTCAATTATAGATGAATAATATAGCTACATTAATGTATTTGAATTGTAAATAGCAATCAGATTGATTTGGAAGAACTTCTTTGAAGTGACTTTTCTGAACTTTTTGAAGGGCTCTTGGTTGGACTTTTTGAAGGGTTCTGGGCTGGAATCTTCTCAGGAGTCTTGTCTGCAGGTTTTTCTGGAGTCTTGTGTGCTTTTTTAAGGAAAGTACCCAAGGATGTTCTCCAGGGAGATGGGTGAAGCAGCAGACTTGTTTGCTGGTGTGACGTGGCATCGGATCAAGCGTTGTAAAGTTGAAACTGATGTCATAAAGTTGAAACAGGGTGTCAATTTATAAATGTTGTAAGTGCAAAACGTTGTAACTTGAAATGTATAAAGTTGAGGACTGCCTGTACATTGATTCATTGGCCACAGCTAAGGTGGGGACAAAGGCTAACTGAGGTATGTTTATGTTCCTTTCAGTACTTAAAAAATTCAGACGTTTCTGCCTAGAGTCCTGCTGTTCTCATGGTCATGCTAATGGCCAAATTTGGGGTCAGGAAGTAATTTCTGTGTTGTGCCTTGTTATTGTGTGTAAGTGTTGGGGATGCCTTGGGTTAAAAATGGCCTGTAAATGCGGGGGAATGAACCCAATAGTCCAGGAGGCCCCTTCCAGTCCTATGTTCTTACTCAAGCAGTAGGATGCAGACCTGGGTCTTGGCCAATTTCTGCCCAGGGATGAGTGCCCTCACCACAGTGAGAGCTGTGTGATTGCAATGTATGGCCTTCAGATTCCCAGAGCAGGCTAACACCATGGATTCACATCTTCTGCCTTTCAGATGGAGAAAGTCTTTTTTATGGAGCCTAATATTTGGTATACCTGTCTTAATCTTAATGATATATATGTTAATACCGGCTGGCCAAGGATCTGGGGTCCTGGAACAGAATCTCATTCCTGGATTGTCTCTCTTAAATCTTCTCTTCTTTGTCTTGTGCACTTTTGTTCAAGTAGGTACACATTTCTTGAATATGTTCTTTTTAGTTTTTCTTGATATAATCTCATCTAATAAAAAGTTGGGAGACAGTAAAGCCTGGTTGGACTGAATCCTTCCCACTGTAGGTATATCTGCTAAAGTGGTACTTATAAGCTGGCCTTGATTATTGATTAATCAATCAAACAAACTCTCCCCACAGTATTCGGTCTAAACCAGTGATGCTCAAGTCTTTGGCTCTGCAAGCCAGATGAGTGGTGTAGGGCTGATCCATGGGCTGGATCAGTTTTTATGTGCAGTATTGGGCCTGCATGTACAGATTTGGGCCCCATGTGGCCTTGGCTGGCCCTGCACACCAGAATAAGGCTACAAGGCCCTGTGCCACTGCCTCAACTCAGTCCCATGCCCCAGCCCCTCACACTGCCTCTGTCTGGCGCCATGTACTGAGATTAGGTCCTGGGGCCCCACATCACCTCTACCTGGCCTTGCAAGCCGGGACTGGGCCTTGGAAGCCTGTGCTGCCTCAACTCAGTCCCACATTCTGACATGCCACCCTGCACACCCAATCTAGTTGGCAGGGCTACAGCCCATGGGGCTCCCCAAGGGCTGGATGATATGATGTTGGAGGTAGATCTGGCCTGTGGGCTGGGCTTGGGTGCCCTTGGTTTAAACAGATGTCAGATGGCAAGAGAGGATAAAAAGTAACTGTGAGGGATGACCATCATGTTAGAAGACACATGAGGACCTGATTTTTGAATCCTGACTTGGTCACCATATTGCTGAGTGGTCATATAGAAGTCCCATCACCTTTCATAATTTGGTTTCCACTTCACTGTAGTAAAGAGAAAATAATAATCCTTAGCTCAGAGGGATGTTTTGATAATTAAATACTTGAAGTGAGAGGTTAAAGATGGGGTATGGGTGCAACATGGAGCAATGAGAGGGTGAAGGAAACTGAAGTAAGATAGCAGGACAGAGAAGGGAGATGGGGGAAAGATGCAACTGATAGAAGAGGTGAGTGGTATGGGGAAGAAAACTGGCTCAACAGTGGCGTTGTTACTTTCTCTTATCATATTCTTACACAGTTTTTAATAATTGTTTAATAAAAAGTTAGGAGACAGTAAAGCCTTATTAGACCAAATCCATCTCACTGTGTATATCTGATAACATGTATATCTGATAAAATAGCACTGTTAAACTGGCATTAACCAAGCAATCAATCAGGCTTACATGAGTGAACTTTTTTGTTATGCTGTGCGATGCTATGTTATGCTATATATGCTATGCTAATCGGTTTTAGCGAGGTTTTTAAAAACATTCCTCTCAGTACTTCCACAGCATAGCTACCTTTATGTATTTAGAACATTTTCCACTTAAGTTGATTTAATACCGTCTCCCATACACTGTAAATCAAATCGCTCCACAATTTGTAATTTGTACTGTGGTAGCACACGGCATCTATTCTGTGCCTGGAGACCCTATCTACTATGCTGACAAATACAAAACAAAATGGCAGCATGCTATGTCATGGATAAATACTAGTATGTCAATATTTTAAGCCATAATTAAGAAAATTTACTTTAATTAAAAAAAAATGTCGAGTGAGGTCCTTTAGTTATCCATGCCACGTTCCAGGGGAAAAAAAATCGTGTTCAGTTTCATAGCAGGAGCCCAAGCTCTTCTCAAAGAGTTTACTATGTAAGTATAAAACAGCTCTATGGGAGGCACACCATTGTTAAAACACAGCAGAATCAGGCTTATTATCTTCTTCTGTTTGCAGACTGTACTAAATATGTCCTTCTTCCTACTACTGATTAACTTGCATTTGTACATCCTCTTGTCAACAGTTCCTTGGTGGATGGTATTTCTATGTGCAAGCCTACAAATCACTGAAGCACAGAACAGCTAATATGGATGTACTCATAGTGCTGGCCACAACAATTGCTTATATATACTCTTGTGTGATCTTAATAGTAGCTATGGCTGAAAAGGCAGAGCAAAGCCCCATCACGTTTTTTGACACACCACCCATGCTATTTGTCTTCATTGCTCTTGGGAGATGGCTGGAACACATAGCAAAGGTAACTGGTTTCCTTGTTAAACCCTGGAGTGCATTTAACAGTGAAACTGATATGACCTTCCTGTGACCAGAAGCTGCTTGAGATGCATTTTGTTTGAGCTATGTCAGGAATGCATTGTAGAAGATACCACAAATGTTTAAAGAATCACAGGCGGTTAAGTTAAATGCACAAATGTCTAGTTAACGTCTCAAGCGTTTATCTCTGTCTCATAGAGTAAAACATCGGAAGCACTTGCTAAACTAATATCTCTTCAAGCTACAGAAGCTACTGTGGTGACTCTTGGACCCAACCACTCTGTCATCAGGTATATGCTATTCACAAAAAGCCCTTCAGCTTGCTGGGATATACTGAGTAGACCTGATGCCTTTAATGGTAGAAGCATCTTTAGTTCTATGAACTGGCTCTGGATTAAACGATTGAACTCTTCTATTCGTGTGTGTGCTTTTTACAGGGAGGAGCAGGTGCCTGTTGAGTTGGTTCAGCGGGGTGACATTGTAAAGGTTGTTCCTGGTGGAAAGTTCCCAGTTGATGGAAAAGTTATTGAAGGCACCTCTATGGCAGATGAATCTCTTATTACTGGTAATTCCCTTCATGGATGACAGAGTTAGCTGCTGGCTGGTATACTTCATAAACAATTCAAGCTTTATTCTTCAATTTTTTCCTGACTGGAGAGGGGGCTTGAACCAAAACCAAATCTAGCTTTTAGGAGAGCTCTGATGCAGGAGCAGACTTTGTGACTGACCTTTACATCTCTACCAAGTTGAGTCGAAACCCTGTGTCTGAATACCCGTGAGCTTTGAGGAAGGTCAGATTGTATGCCTCTGGATTATTTGCCTCTATGTCAGGGATGGGCAAAGTCTGGCCAGTGGGCTGGTTGGCTCCATGGTGGACTCCATTTCCCAGCAGCCTCTGTCTGTGTTGCTGTGGTCGTTTTCCATGGAGACCCTAGGAGTGGTGGCACTGTGACAGTTTCCATGGATACCGTCCCCAGGCAGGGGCATGCAGGCAGCAGGTCATGGCTCTGCTCTGGCTCCAGACCATGCTGTCACCACTGTAAGATCCTAGCTCTGGCCCTGGAGCAGCTCCCCACCCAGCCACATGCCCTGCCAGTGCTGCTGGGGCTGGTCTCCATGGAAACCCTGGCCCCGTGCTGTCATAGTGCCACTGCTCCTGGGGTCTCTATGGAAACTGGCTGCAGCAACATGGGCAGGGGCTGCTGGGAAATGGAGTCTGGCCACTAGCTGAACCTGCTTTTTTGCCTACCTGTGCGCTCGATCAAACCTGTTGGTCAGCTACTTCTGTAAATCCTCTAGCTTTGCTAAAACTTCAGGTTTGGTGAGGTCAAGATACCATCATCTTGGCTCTAGAGGGTGATGGGGGGACATAGAGGAAGTTTTCTTTGGAACATGTTTTGCAAAAATAGTGCAATTTTAGAACTACTTCTTCACTGGTGATTAGGACAATTTCACAAGTCTGTCAGGAGGCACATGGTGTGGTAATTGTTAAGGACAATCTCAGGCAGTTAGTAAAGGACCAGGGCAGAAGGGAGAGTCTCGGGTCTTGATGCTGGCTAGGTCCACTGGAATTGCTTCCACTTTGGGGAAATTTTCTAAAGGAAAGCTGTGATTTTTATTTACTTTCAGTCTGGATCCTGTTATAAGTGCGCTAAAAGAAATAAAACCTAGAAGTTTATTGGCTCGTCTGTTTTTTATTTGATGGGGGGGGCAGTTTTCCATTTTGAGAGAACAGGACACAGTTTTGCATGGACAAATATTTTAAGAAATGCAAATCGTGGTACACTGCAGTAAATTGAGAGCCAGTGTAAGCATGGGAGCTTTCCAAAGTTTTGCAGTTTCTCTAGCTTCTGTTGTAAGACACAAAATTAGTGAGCTTGCTCTTAGATACAGAAATACAGAAATAATGGAGTTTTGAGGTTCTTTGTCTTGTAGCAGCTTTAAGGGAAGCAGTTTGTTCTTGGCTCTTCTGAGGTTTTGTGCTGGAAAGTAGGTAAGGAGTCAAGGAGGCCTTCCTGTTCCCCCTGTGTGCTGTGTACAAGGGCCAGGGCAACTTGCAGTTTTGGTGCTTGGAGGGGAGTGGCTAATGAGAATTTTCCTTTAACTCATGGAGCAGGAGCCTACAGTGCTGGAACAGGAATATCTGAATTCTCTCCCCACTAATCTGTTGAGGTTCAGAGTAGTCCTGCTGCATAGTGCTGTCCAGTGTAGTCATGGACTTGTTGCAGCATAATCACGCATAATATCAGCTAGTATGAACATACTAGCTTGACAGAACAAGGAGCAATGGTCTTAAGTTGCAGCAAGGGAAGTTTAGGTTGGATATTGGAAAGAATGTTTTCACCAGGAGGATAGTAAGACACTGGAAGAGATGGACACAGGTAGTATAGTGGACAATAGTAAGACACAGAGAGGTGGTGGAAGCTCCATCCTTGGAAGTTTTTAAGGCTTGGCTAGACAAAACCTTGGCTGGGGTGATTTAGTTGGTGATGGCCTTGATTTGAACAGAGGGTTGGACTAGATGACTTCCTGAGGTCCCTTCCAAGCCTCATTTTCTATGATTTCTAACATAAAATGAGCCTCGCCATGCTGAATAAGAATGTGTGGAGTGAGTGATTCGTTAGTTGAGGCACATGATTAAAAAGAACATTTAGGGCAGAACACTTTATGTGCGCCAATGACAGTTATCCAACTGTTTTTTGCTGCCCTTTTTGGCATTTGCACACTCGATGATCTTGTTCCACCTGCAGTGTGGAGACACAAATATCTATATGGTAACTGAAGATGCCCAGTAGGCTGCACCCTGGCCAGGCAGCTACACAGCTCTGTACATGCATATCAGGGCATAAGTCCCCAAGCTGTAGCCAGGCAAAAACCTTGGGATCTGGGAGGAAGAGGCGTATATGATGCAAACTTGAGCCTGGTCTTTAATAATCATTATATAAAATGCATGGAAAGGAATGGGAAAGTGTCTACCCTGTTGGTAACAAGGAGCCCCAGATGCTCTCCCCTTCAGGGGAGCAGCCCCTTTCCCCTTCAGGGGAGCACTAGGGCATGCAACCTCTAGCTTGTTTTCTTACTCCTTGTCCCAATGTGTCTCTGGGTTCCTAAAGGGCTAGATTCAAAAGGAGGGCTGAAAAGAGGACAGGATAATGGTTAGAGCACTGTAGTAAGAAGTTGGAAAATGATAGGTTCAAACACTACAGGGAGGTTGAAGGGCCTAGAATCTGGGTCTTCTGCCTCTTGGGTGAGTGCACTAACAACAAGGCTGTCGGGGTGAAAAGGTGGGAGGGCCCCCATTTTATTTCTCCGTACAATTTTGGGACTTAAGCTCACTAAGGCATGTGGGTATATGACTCTGTGTAGCCTATTGAACATGTTAGGTAGTCATGTGGAAGCTTGTGAATCCACACTGCACACAGAGTAAGATCAGAAACTGTGTAGGTACCAAAAAGGGAAATTGTGCAGCTGGGTAAGTACCAGTTGGGCATATTAAGTAAAATAGGATTCTGCCTAAAAGCTCTCCTTTGTCTCAAGACAAACAGTTCATGTTAAACATCTGCTGATTCTGATCTCTGGCAGGTTGAGAACAGAGACTTTTCAGGTATACAGGGATTTATTCCAGGCTCTAAAACTAAATGATAGGTTGCAGTTTATGGATTCTACCAAAGTCTGTTGGAATCAAAGGGATGGACCTCCAAACAGCTTTGTATCAGGCCTTTAGAGAAGAGAGACTGAGACTCTTGAACCTGGAACAAGGTGGAAGAAAGAGACAGTGGGCAGTTGCCTGGGTGGCTGCTGTGAAATAGAGCATGCAGAACATTTCCCTGAAATGTAATGCAACTTACAGAAAGTTTCTATTGGAAACAGCATTTAATTTTTTTTTTATTTTCAAATTGCAATTCAAAATGTTGACTAGTTAGCCAGCATGCAGTCTGCTAGCTCTTCTTACACAGCTGTTCCCACACATGGTTTATTTAGATAGTTTCTTAACCCTGTTGTTTATATTTCTTTTCCCCTTAGGGGAGGCCATGCCCGTCACTAAAAAACCTGGCAGCACAGTGATTGCAGGATCTATAAATGCACATGGCTCTGTTCTTGTTAAGGCAACTCATGTTGGCCCTGACACTACCCTGGCACAAATTGTAAAATTGGTGGAAGAAGCTCAGATGTCCAAGGTAAAAATTAAAATCTTACATTTTTGACTGAGGAGAAATCAAGAAGGCTTCCCTTTTTTGTGACATTGTATGTAACTGATTCTACAATAGAATTAAGAAGAAAAATGAAAAGTGTTTGATTATAAGGTTTTTCTTTACATCCTGCCTGTGCTTACCTTTCATACCTCATTCCTAAAACAATTTTAAATCTCTTTTGTTATAGGCACCAATTCAGCAACTGGCTGATAAGTTTAGTGGCTATTTTGTTCCATTTATCATCATAATTTCAACAGTAACATTGATTGTGTGGATTGCAATGGGCTTTATCAATTTCGAAGTTGTTCAGAAATTCTTCCCAGTAAGTAGCTTTATTAGTACCAATATATGTTCTTAAATTATGTAATTAATGTGTCTTATGTGCTTTCCCAGACAGCCTGATACTGAGGGTAGTAAGCACCCTTGTCCTGGAAACTTATAAGGGTTCTCAACAGTGTAGATACGTTCCACTGGCCCAAATTGCCATGCCAGCTCTGCAAGGGGTTCTAACACAACTGAAATCAATGGCTTTTCAGTGAGAATGAATATTGTCCAGTGACTGGATTTCAGGGAGCAGAGAAAGTACTGACCAAAAGCACATATGCATATCCCTGTTTCTGTTGCCAAGTGTTTTGTTCGGCTTTAGAAAGATGACTAGCAGCTTAATCATGTTTGGAAAGTGTCAAGTGTATCTGCCAGACTCCTAGCTTGTGGGAAGCTGTGCATCCCAAAGACAGCTTACTCAGTCAGGAGTGGGGAGGGCAAAACATGGTAGGTAATGTGAATGCATGCGAGCTAGTCTGCAAGACAGTGATTTTCCATTTACATTACTTATTCATTTTGAAGGTGGATTTGTGGGTCAGAAGTAAGTCAGAGAAGTGTGAAAGTGATGGATTTGCCATTATGGGGACTTGTCATCTGTGTTTTTCTGTCCTTTATTAGCTTTTTCAGCAGACAACTTTTTTTTTTCCTTTTTGCAGCATCGGAGCAAAAACATCTCTAAAGCTGAAATAATCATCAGGTTTGCATTCCAAACTTCTATCACTGTGCTGTGCATTGCGTGCCCCTGTTCCTTGGGCCTGGCCACTCCAACAGCAGTCATGGTGGGCACAGGAGTGGCTGCTCAAAATGGTATTCTTATCAAAGGTGGAAAACCTCTGGAGATGGCCCACAAGGTTAATATCTCCTTCCTGAAACATTGTTTTTACTGCCATCTTTAAGTTGGCTGTGCATGGCTTTCACATTATATGTATTAATCAAGCACAATACATTTCTTTCAGATAAAGACTGTGATGTTTGATAAAACGGGGACCATCACCCATGGAGTTCCTAAAGTCATGAGAGTGCTTCTGCTAGGGGACACGGATACCCTGTCTCTCAAGGTGGTTCTTGCAGTTGTGGGCACTGCAGAGGCCAACAGTGAACATCCCTTGGGAATGGCTATAACTAAATACTGCAAAGAGGTACTGCTTTAAAAAAGTCGTTGTAGGTACTGCTCAAGGGTATACTGCACTGAATTAGTTAGTGCAGTCCAATAGGCCCAATTTTACAAGACCTGCCTAATTGCCTAACTTGATCTAGGTTAATTAAAAGATTCCAGAAAAGTGGTTCCAACTGAGACTCTACACAATATGTCACAGAGCTAATGTTTGTCACTAAGATCAAGCAAAGTACTGCTTTTGTTGCTGACATTCAGACCCACTCCATAATCAGGACTGAGAAGTGAGAATCCAGAGTCTGAATTTTTAGACTTTTTAGTCTAAATCTTTTAGGAGATGCTCTCTTGTGGCTTTCAGTCCTGGCTGTGGAGTGGGTGTGTGTGCCAGCTCTTTGCTTGATCCAAGTGACAAACATTAGCTCTGTGACATCTTGTGTAGAGTCTGAGTTGGAACCACTTCTCTGGAATCTTGTAATTAACCTAGAACAGTGGTTCTCAACCATCTTAAGCTTTAGGCATGCCTTGACAATTGCTAGCTTTTAATTTTCACTTGTTTTGTTGGCTATGGAAAATACTAGAGTAATTTTTCTGTTGCAAAAACTTGTGAATCATGTTTGCACATCTATTAATGCTAACATTGTGTGGCACCCTTGAAACAGGATGCTTCAGTAACCAGGTTGAGAATCACTGACCTAGAGATTAACGCGCTGTGTTCTTGCTGTAATGCAAGTTAAGAGATGCTTGGTCATTCTTACTCACTTTCATATTTTAAACTTTTCATGGGTTGAATTCATCAGAGATCCACTTTCCCCTTTAGCTTTGTCAGAGCCTGATTTTGGTGAGCTGTGGGGTAGAATGAAACACTTATTTGTTTAGGCTGGGCTTTTGATAACACTTACAGTAGTGAGTATTTGAGTTGGTAGACTGTGTGAGGTTCACGATTGATAAAATTGTGAGATTGCATAGTCCAGCATATAGGACACTGAGCTGGAATTCTGGGTTCTGATTCAAACTCTGCCATTGACCTAAGATGTGGCACTGGTAAAGTCATGCCACAACCCTGTCCCTTTGACCTTTGTCTGTCTTTCCTACCTCGTTCAAAGCCCTTCAGGAGAGAGGCTGCTTCTGTATGGTGCAGTGGGGTTTACAGTTTCAACTGGTACCTCAAGGAACTTTAATAATAATTCAGGTGTCTTGACAATCAGCCCCTAACACGATTTTGTAAATAGATGTTCCCCTAAGGTAAAGCAGGACATGGAATTTTCTTACGTATATATAGAATAAAGTAACTGTGAAGAAGCCTGCGTAGTGTCTTCCCACACACTGTCCAACTGTAGCCAGCTTGATTAATCAGTCATTTATCACTAAATTTAGACAGAAAGTTTTAAAGAAACCTAAATATTAAAATGTGAGCCCTCGGATTTGAGAAATTAATTAATAGCCTGTGAAATTAGTAATCTGTATGCAGATCCACAAAGGTCATTGATGGCATGTGTTCCTCAAATGCTTCAGGAAGGATGAATCATAGGTTGGAAGGGACCTCTGGAGTTGTCTACTTCAACCCCCTGAAAGTGCAATTGGAAATAAAAAAGAGGAAGGCAGTTGTAAATAACAGCTGATTGTTATGCTTACATAAATGTGACTGGGTTTCTGGCCAACATTGGTTGAAATGATTATAAAATGATAAATTGGCAACAAGATGAGTATTCAACACATCTGTTAGAAATCTTTAGAGGTAAAATTTAGAAAAATTAAAATGCGTATTTGGAAAGAGAGGAATTCTGTCAGGGTAATGATTCTGTCTGCCTGCCTTATTTTAAACTCACTTTCCTCTGATGGTTGGTGGTGGTCAAATCATCTACTTCTTGTGCCCAACCTGTTTCAGTAAGATCACATGCCTCAATCTTCACCTGACCACAGCTTGTGTGAAATGCTGATTCTTTATCTTTTTACAGGTATTACTATTACATCCATGTGCTTTTAAGCTATCATAAAACTACTTGATAAGCCAAGGGTAGCTCTGACTTCAGCATAACTCCTCAGAGATTAATTTTGTTCATTAGTCTTATAATTTCCTGTTTTCCCCTCCTTTATATCTCTTTAGAGTTCTAAAAAATGTTCTTGGCAACCTCATTCTTAAATGTTGTGCCTGTGCATCCATTTCTCTCTCACTTAATGGCAGTGGTTACTGTCAGAAGATTTTTTGTTAAAATAATCTTGAAAACCATCAACTTTTAGCTCATTCCTAGTCTCATGGTCAAATCAAGCCACTCCAAGAACTGTGTGTGTGTGTTTATGGTAGTAATATGAAACCTATAGTAATATGAAAGTCCAGCAGCATCTATGGCCAGCTATCTTCTTCCTCTGAAGAACTGTTTATTTCCATTATCAGAGACCAAATGCCAGAATAGGTGGACCTGGGATCTGACCTAGTACAGCAATCCGTTTCTCATAGTCTAATAATAGAATTAATAAGGTTCCTGACAGATATTGAAACAATGGCACAATTGAGATTTGAGGAATTTTATGCCCCATCCTGAACATCACACATCCTGCCCTACCAAATATGCATGTTTGTCAGTGCTGGCCATGGACAGGCTTCTAGACCTGAAGCTGTCTGGGGCTGGGCTTGACAATAAGCTCTGAAGGGCCTGGTGGTGATGAGTCTCCCAGGGTTCACCTTAAAGACCCTGTCCTGTAGCTCCCACAGGGCAAAGCAGCCAAATGTTGGGTTCTGACAAGCTCGCATCCTGATGCTGACAGTCAGCAATTGTCAGTGTCAGAACCAGGGCAGCTAGGTTTTAGACTGGAGGCTGCCCAGGTCCCAATACTGACAATCAGCTGATTGTTGGCATTGGGATGATAAGGCATGCCACACATTCAATTTATGGCACCATGCAAACCAGCCATAAACACGTTCCACACTTTATGTAGCATCTCTTTGTGTCTGGTTTGTCATTTCATGGCACCACTAATTCAATGAACATGTGGCATAGTGCTATTTATGGCCTAAATGACACACAAATCATGCTATAAAAGTAATGTGCTTGGGCCTAAGTAATTTTTGATCTCTAGCTCTTGTTCTGACATTGTTCTATGTACATGTAGGTAAATCTCAGAACATTTCTGCCTGTTTCTTCCTCTGTAAAAAGGGGAGAAGACCCACCTTTTTGTAGTGTTGTGGGTACAAATAGTCAACATGTGTAGCACTTTGAAGATTTAAATTGTTATATGTTGTAATTGTTATGTTTGCAGGAACTTGGTACAGAGAGCCTGGGGTATTGCATGGATTTTCAGGCAGTACCAGGCTGTGGAATCAGCTGTAAAGTCAGTGGTGTTGAAGCTGTCTTAGGCCAGAAGGAGCACAGTCTAAATGAGCGGAATGCTGACCTGCATGGGGACGGCACTGTTTCCCTGAAACACAGTTCATTGATCATGATATCCGAACCTGATGGTAGGTCTGTCCTATTGGCTCATAGTCCATCACAAGTACAAGTGGGCTAAATCAAAGGTGCAAGGAACTGCAAAATAGCCATTGTATCTGGAAACTTCACAGAGAACTTAGACACCACGGTGATGGGGGTTGTAGAAGCACCTACAACAAATGGGTAATGAGATGTTCCTTACTCAGCCACACATTTAATTTAGCAGAGCAATCCTCCATGGAAAAGAATGACAGGGAAAGAGAAAGCAAAACTGGCTAGTTAGCATTGTAATTCCTTTGGGAACTGGAAACACTTTGCCCAATCATCTTGCTTTGTCACCCTTATCGTGCTAGTTTCTTAGTTGTATATCAGCTTGGATGCTTTGGATGAAGTTTTATATTTTCATCTATTCAAATATCCTCTGGAGGTGCTTATTAAAGAAGTGTATTTAATGGTTGAACAAATATATTGGGAATTAATATATTAGGGTTCTTATAGATGTGCAGGGAGCCAGCTCTGACACACAGAAAATCCAGCATGTCGGACAAGACTTGATTAATGAGTCTGTTGGAGCACGGAAATTATCACGCTCCATCAGATTCTAGGATCACGTGTATCAGTATCCCTGTGCTAAAGAATGGTGGCAGGGCGCTTTGAACTAAAGCTCATTTGATAAGCTTTAGTTCAAAGTGTCCCACTACTGTTTTTCAGCATGTGGGTTGCTGATGCACATGACAATCATGCTTTTAATTAGCACAGCTCACTAATTAAAGCGCTTTCCTGCGCCTCCTAGAGCATGTGTAAAAATGCCCTTAGAGATGCAAAATTCACTTAAGTGGCTTAAATTTGGATGTTGACAAATCTGTGTGATTTCTATGTGGGATGATATATAACATTCAAAGATACTATGGGTCTTTTTCAGGCCATGGGAGCTACCTTGTTCCTTTTTATAAAGATTTTCAACATTTTCCACTAACATGTCACCTTCTCTCCAATGCACAGTCTTCACTTCCAGGATTGCCTGTGCTAGGACTTTGTAGAGAAACCACTGGAATCGTTGAATTAATTTAATCTTTGCACTCTGACCATTACCCTATCATAAAAGGGATTGACATAGCATTTCCCTACCTATCATGTAGGATTCTTGAGCAATTCAAACTTAAATTACACTTCATTAATTGCTGCTGTGTGGCATTTGTTGGAACATTATTACTGTATATGTGGGAGGAAACCTATGGTTTTACACTAAAGGAATAAAATATACACCCCTTAAAGAACATTAGAAATTACAGAAAAGTTTAAGATGACATTTTATGAAGCACATGCATGCAGTGGGTGGGCACTACTAAATGTGAAACTTGTAAAGGTACGCTATTGTCCATGTGCATGCATGAGATCATAGGACTGCTTATCTATCTAATGCAGTGAGTCGGTCTCCAAGATACCACCCTTCCCCACCTTGTATATGACTTGCATGAATAAGTGTTTGCAGAATTGCAGTCTAAGGTCAAAAAGTGCTTTCTAATGTATACAAATTATGTTGTAGGAGGCCTAATAATAGAATGAGTGTGAGACACATTTTAGTTTTTGTTGCTAAATAAATAAAACCAAGGCAAGTCCCAGTCCACTACAAGAGCTTCAGGAGATGACCATTGCCTAACAGTCCAGCTTTATCATCCCAAACAACTTCACATCTGTTTTTAACTAATACAGGTTTATGATCATTTCCATCCTAATCTGGCTTTGCCTCCTGTCACAAACCTTTCTGGGGGGGTCCCATGAGACCTGAATTTCTCCCCACTGTACTGCCCTTTGCCCCAATGAACAGACTGAGGCTGTCCTGAAATGGATCCCTTTCCCAGCATCTCAGTTCTTCTGCCCTTACAACAGACTCTGAAGCTAAAGTGAGGGATCTCTGTCAGCCCCAAGTGTCCCCCACTTTTGGATTATGGAAGAAATTACAGGTTCTCTTCTCCATGGAGAAAGTCACCTAGAATATTACTTGCTCAGAAATCTTTCTTTCTATTGGCAATCAGTAAGGAGTCAAACAGCAAAAGGATTTATTTACATAGGATGAAAGAATTATGCAAACAGAACGGACCATAGATTAGGAGACAGGACAATAAAACAGGTACTGGTTCTTTAGTCATCTGGCTGCCCCTAGTCTTCCATGGGAGTCGTTGCAGAGTTATAGAGATCAGCCTTCCTTCCAGCTTTCCTGTCCTGGGAACTGGGACCAGTGAACCTGCAAAGCCTGAAATTCAAAGACAGATATTTTAGCCTAGCTAGGCTCTTTAGAGCATTATTCTAATTTTTATGAGTCATCAGAATCTTTCAGAAAGTTATAATAGCCTTCGCGGGCTATTTTTCCAGTTGCCTTTGCTGTTATAGAGTCAGTTGTCCCCATCATAGGTGGATAGTGTGCAGGAATGTCCATCCAACCTGTGGCTCCTTCTTTGTGCTAGTGTAAGTAACAATTGTCCTGGCCCTAGAGCACAATGGCAAGGGATAATTAGCAGTTCTGCCCATTCCCTGTGTTCCCTGGCTAAAACATATCCGAAATCATAAAGACATAAATAGCTAGCATAACATAATCCATACAGTGATAACAAGAGTAAAAATAGATACAGCATAACATGGGCTTCCCAATGAGACCAAACGTGCCATATATATCAGCACAATAAAATACAAGAAAACAATTATGACTTGCTCCAAACCCAAAACATAACAGGACTGGCTCCTCCTCAACAGTTGCTCCTCAGGCTATTGTGGATGTTAATGAAGTTCCTCATCATTCTTACTTCTGTTCACTAAGGTGCAGCAGCCCCTCACACCTACTTAGTGGTGATTGGAAATCGTGAATGGATGAGACGTAACGGTTTGCATATTTCAAATGATGTTAATGATGCAATGACAGGCCATGAAATGAAAGGACAGACAGCTGTATTGGTGGCTATGGACGGTAAATAATATTCTTTGAAATGACTTAGTGGGAATGCAAATACCATTTCATGGTGCCTGGATGCTGACCTTGCAAATACCCTGTTTAGAAAGTCACCTTTCCTCCCAGGGTAATAAATATTTGATGTACAACTCAAAGGGACAAAATACAAATTACCTTTTTTAGATAAGTTATTTGTGAATGTGAACTACAAAGAAAAAAACCTGTCACTGTATAAGTCAGAGGAGTGGAATGGGAATGAAATCATCTTAGCTTCTGTAGGCCACTTTGTTTCCTATATCTATCTGCAAGTTTTTAACTGTTGGTGTTTCTTTGAAGGTGCATTGTGTGGGATGATTGCAATAGCAGATACTGTCAAACAGGAAGCAGCACTGGCTGTGCACACCCTAAAAACCATGGGAATCGATGTGGTTCTTATAACAGGGGACAACAGAAAAACTGCTAAAGCCATTGCTACACAGGTAGTCTGGTCTGTATTCAAATAGATCTTATAGGTTGTAACAACGCTTAGCCTGATGACCTGGAAAGCTGATTATTTTAGCTTTTGCCTAGATGTTCATGATGCTTGGAGCAAAGGAAGGACAAGCTCTGCCCCGATGAGTTTCCACATTGTGTAGGATTATGTAGATTAGTTTATGTAAAACTGGATTAATAAAGCTGACTAAAATGCCACTGAAGAGTAAGTGAGCACTCACTGTACACTCTGTTCCTTGTGGTAGTTCATCCATCCCTGTACTTTTTTTACTTAGGTAAGTGCCCCGAAGAGTGTGGTAATTTTGGAAAATGATTCCATTAACCCTTAGAGCATTGACATTTTACCTTCTGCCAAAGAAATCCTACTACAGCATATCCAGAGCAATGCCTGAATCAGTGAAGCATGATTTACTGGTGCCTGTATTCTCTGCAAGCATCCTCTCTGCATTGAAAATGGGGCATAGCTCCAGTTAGTCCATTGTGCAGTACATTAGCAACTTGAATGGAACATGAAAAGGTTCATAAAATGTTACGAGCCCTTTTAAAGCTTTTTCTTCCACGATAAAGCTATAATAACCAGCTTGTGCCTTATTTTCTCTCTTTTTTTTCCCCCTCCATGTAGGTTGGCATAAAAAAAGTGTTTGCTGAGGTTCTTCCTTCTCACAAAGTCGCAAAGGTCCAGGAACTCCAAAATGAAGGGAAGAAGGTAGCCATGGTTGGAGATGGAGTCAATGATTCCCCTGCACTGGCCCAGGCTGACATCGGTGTTGCTATTGGAACAGGCACTGACGTTGCCATTGAAGCAGCAGATGTTGTTCTTATTAGAGTGAGCTGAGTTGTTTAATGCATTTTTTTCTATTTGGGTTGGTTTGGGCTACTGAGAAGTGTATGATTGTAAGGGTCTGAAGAATTTTGTCTCACTGTTCTCGTGTCTTTCAGAATGATTTACTGGACGTGGTTGCCAGCATTCATCTATCAAAGAGAACTGTACGAAGAATACGAATAAATCTGGTCCTTGCCTTAATTTATAATCTGCTTGGGATACCCATAGCAGCAGGTACTTGACTGCTAAATCTCAGCTTGTAAGAGAAAGAGCTGTTCTGTACTGTATCTCTCTCCCAGTTCTGCTCAAGAAGCAAAATGAGGAAGTATATGGAGCTCCCTAAGAGTCTGTTAGTAACAATTTGACAAAGAAAAAAATCCCCATAAGTTTCTGTGAGCATTTAAAATCATTGCCCTTTCCCAACTTTTTAAACCTGTGAGAATCATTAATAATTCTATAAGATGTTTACATCAAAGCCCATTCATTTTTACTTGGGGAGACAGCATCGTAGTTGGATTTGTCTTCCTGTTTTCAAAACCATTCTAATCACAGAACATAGAGACAGGGCAAGTTTATTACCTTTTTTTTATCTGATCTATCCATATTCTAAAGTAATACTGCTTTTTTTACTGTAGGCTTCTGTGTACTTTGTACACACTAGTTTTAATTGTATCAAGTGACAGGGCTACAGTCTTACTGGCTTAATAGTAGCCTACAGAGCTTTTAACATGAACTATTACAGTAATATGGAAATAAGCTGCCATGTAGCTTTAACTTCAGTACAGCCAGAGACAATGATCACTACAGACTAGCAGAGGGCTTGTTGTCTAGTGGATGATGTAGGGGCCAGGCACTCCTGAGCCTTTCTCTCAGTTCTGATTCTAGTGTACTGTGAGGCCTTGGAAAGTCGCAAGCACCATGTACTGCAATAATGATCACAATCTGGCCCCCTGACATAACTCGAGTATTACAGCACTTCGAAAGTACAAAGACCTGATGCGCTGAGGTTAACGCTTCTGGCTGCTTTTACATACGTTGTGGGCTTGTGTGTGTGTGGCAGTGACTGGGCCCAACCTTTACACTTCCCTCCAACGCAAAGACAGATGGAAACAATCCTTGCCTCAAACAATTTCCATTTGAAATCAAATTGTAGGTAGGGCTGCTACCAAAGACATTCATTTGCATTTATTTTTGAGGGATTATTATAAATAGTGTCCCATCTATATCCATCAACCCAACTATCATTAACTGGCTGAATGTCAAGTACTGAGTAAACCACATGTGGACATTCCACCCGTTACACATTCCCACCTTTTTTTTTCCTCTCCACCAGCCCTTATAGTGGTGTGAATACAAATTCCACACTGACCCGCATAGGGTTAACAAATTGGCCTGGGCTCACTGAGCTCTGCCAAGGTTTCCCTGCTAACAACAGACTTGTGGGAGAAAAGGGTTTTTTTTATGTTCCTCCTCAAAAAGATCTTCAAGCTGTCCTCTCTTTTCATAGCCACCCATCATATGGATTGTCACCCCAGAGTGGCAGGGAGGGAAGAGTACTTTTATGTTTGGTCACAGTTCTGAAGTTGAATCTATGCAGAAACAGTTCTTTACTTCTGAAGGCTTGTGTTTAGAAGGCAGTGTATGCACATAGGTTGATATATCTGTGTTTATAGAGATTCATAGATTATAGAGTCAGAAGGGACCCAATGGATCATAATGTCTGACCCCCTGCCCCTGGCAGGAAAGTGAACCAAGGTCAGATGACCCCAGCCAGGTGATTGTCAAGCCTCCTCTTGATGACCTCCAAGATAGTACCACCTCTCTTGGAAGCCCATTCCAGACTCTGATGACTCTTACTGTAAAAAAATTTCTTCCTAATGTCTAACCTAAATCTACACTCCACTAGTTTGCACCCCTTATTCCAAGTTACTCCCTGGGGCGCTCTGGGAAACAGCGCATCCCCAATTCCCTGCTCTCCTCCCCTGGTAAACTTATAGGCGGCTACAAGGTCACCCCTCAGCCATCTTTTGTAAAGTCTGAAGAGATCCAGATCTCCCAACCTCTCCTCGTAGGATCTTTCATGGAGACCACTAATCATGCGAGTGACCCTCCTCTGAGCCCTTTCCAGATCCTCCATGTCCCTCTTGAAGTGTGGCGCCCAAAACTGGACACAGTTGGGGGATGCCGCACAGAGGGGGAGCATCACCTCCGCACAGAGGGGGAGCATCACCTCCCATGATCTGTTGGTCATGCATCTGTTAATACACAACAAGGTGCAATTTGCTTTGTTGGTGGCCTCGTTGCACTGCTGGCTTATGTTCATCTTGGAGCCCAGTTATGACTCCAAGCTCTCTCTCAGCCTCTGAGCTGCTGAGGAAGTCATCACCAAACCTGTAGCTGTGTTGGGGATTCCTCCTTCCTAGGTGGAGTACCTTGCATTTACCATTGTTGAATTTCATCCTATTTTGTTCCGCCCATTGATCTAACCTGTCCGGGTTGGCCTGTATCTGCTCCCTGCCCAACTTTGCTCCATAACTTGGTATCAACTGTGAACTTGGAGAGTATGCTCGCCACACCCTGTCCAAATCGCTGATGAAGATATTAAATAACACTGGTCCAAGGACCGAACCCTGTGGGACCCCACTGCCCACCTCCTTCCAGGCCGAGATTGACCCATCCACCATCAATCTGGGTGTGGTCCCTAAGCCAGTTAGCTACCCACCTGGCTGTGTAGAGGTCCACTCCACAGCCCGTTAGCTTCCATATGAGAATAGGATGCGAAACTGTGTCGAAGGCCTTCCTAAAATCCAGGTAGATGACATCGGCCTCAGCTCCTGTGTCAAGGCAGTGTGTGACCTGGTCATAAAAGGCTATAAGTTTTATTGGGCAGGATCTACCTGTGATGAACCCATGCTGGTTTCCTTTTAGCATCATTTCTCATGCCGGGCCTTCACAAATGTGTTCTTTGACTTTTTTTTTTTTTTTCCCCCCATTATTTTTCCAGGGATAGAGGTAAGACTGACTGGCCTAAAGTTACCCAGCTCATCCCTTCTCCCTGTCTTAAAAATGGGCACCACGGTGGTCTTTTTCTAGTCCTCAGGCACCTGGCCGGAACACCATGAGAGCTCAAACAGCCATGCCAGCGGCTCAGCAATGGCACTGGCCAGTTCCTTCAGCACCCATGGATGGAGGTCATCCGGGCTGGCTGACTTGTACCCATTCAGCCCCTCCAAGTGCTCTTTAACTAAGTCAGCACTAACCTTAGGTGGTCTGGCGCCTTTTGGACATCTGTCTATGCTCAAGGTGGGGGAATTGTCTTGGTCAGTATTAAGGAGTACTGAAGCAAAGAACTCATTGAAGAGCTCTGCCTTTTTCTCTGCGTCAACCACCAACTGATCTGAGGGCTCCACAAATCATGCTTTGGACTGTCTGGCCATTTTAATGTTACAGTGATAAATCACTCAATCTTAAGACTGAATTTGGTAGTAATGTGTATATGTGTGTGTGTTCATTCTCCTTTTAGGAGTGTTTATGCCCATTGGTATCGTGCTTCAGCCATGGATGGGTTCCGCAGCCATGGCAGCTTCATCAGTGTCTGTGGTGCTATCTTCCTTGCAACTAAAGTGGTAGGTTTTACACCCACCAGTCAGTAAGTATTGACTGTATTTCATTTGGGACTCTTAAGGCACTGCTTTAGGCTGTCACACACTTAAAATAACCAAGCAATGCTATCTTTTGTGAGTGCTTGGTTCCAAAAATCAAGGAGGCAACATCAGGAGGCACTACTTCACTGTCAGGGCGGCTAGGATCTGGAACCAACTTCCAAGCAAAGCGGTGCTGGCTCCTACCCTGGGGGTCTTTAAGACAAGGCTTGACAATCACCTTGCTGGGGTCTTTTGACCCCAGTACTCTTTCC